CCAGCAAAGTCGAATAGAGGTAGATAAGGGCCTTCAGATCCGCGATATAGCTTTCTTCCGTAGCCATTAGTTCAGCCAGTATCTGCCTTCTCTTCGTACCTCTGCGAAAGGCAGCTTCGTCCACGGAGGCGCTCGTGGCAGGGCGGTCGCTGTCCGTTGACAGCCGGGTATGGGAACCAAAAATTCCATAACTATCTGTCGACCTACCGAATCTAAAAGATCGAGGAACATTTGTAAAACTCGAATTGCTCACACTTGCTGTCTTCATAGTGTGTACGAATGCAGACGACGCAACAGATAGTCGTTTTCTGTGGCAGGCCGGACGTGGAGCCATGGATGCTGGCGCGTTCCCAGATCGATGCTGCAGCGAAGAGCTCTGATGACCTTGTGATGATGGACCTAATGGGTCGAGGGAGCCGAGCCATGTTTCCGTCTCTTCACTTGATATAGTGTCTGTAGTTGTTGATCCCTTCACCGGTGTGAACGGCAAGCTCGTGGGTGAGGAGACACCACTTCCCGAATGGGCTGGAGTCTTTTGTTTCGTACGCTTTGGCAGACCGGCTCTGCGTTTCTTCTCGTTCACCGACTCGGCCAATGGTTGAGGACGTATCGGCCCAGCAGACGACTTCTGAGACGGGTTGAGAGAGCGGTCCCGGCTCGAAAAGGCATTCCGCGGGACCGCCACGCCAATACCTGAGGGGCATAACTTCGGTGCTTCAGATGCAAGCCTAGCAGAAAAAGACCGGGAGGCTGTGGAAGGGTTATCGCTCAGAAGTAAGGGGTCTCGATTCTCATCGTTTGTCGGCACCGGTGCTGATGCAACAGATGGAATAGAAGCAGAGGAGATCTGGCGGTCTTGATGGATGAAGAAAGGAGATAAAGCGCTCGAAGAAGCCACCGAGGGCCCAGGATAAGATGAGTCCGAGCCACCCGAGATACCTGGTTCCGTACTGAAAATTCTACTGAATGGGCCTGTGATGACTGCCGGTAAAAGTTGTGCTGTCATTGTGTAGTGATAGGAGGATAAATTGAAATCAATGAAAAGATAGGATTGCAATGATGGGAGACAAAATGAAAGCCAACGGTCAAAAAGCCCATTGGGACGACCAAACGACCAAAGTCGACAATGTTCCAAAAGTTGAGTGATAGAGCATGACAACAGTGGCAGCGAAGGAGAAGCAGCTTGAGAGCCGTTTAAACAGGCAGATTCTCAATATGTCTAACGGAGGAAGGAGAGCTTCGGCAAGCCCAGGGTAAGGAAGGAGCTGGTGGTTGAAAAGATGCTGTTCGCTATTTGAACCAAACCGACCTGTACTTTGCGCAAGCCATTCCATCATGACAAGCTTTGCGACTGTCAACAACCACGAAATGTCAGGACAATAAAATTGTTTGTGAAACATGGGCGTCGAAAGCCACGAGGTGTTTGACAGGGACGGAAATGCAGGACCTTTCGAAGTCATCACCTCAAGGCTGGAAGAAGTTCCTTGCCCAGACTTTCCTCGGCTAGAAGCATCTCTCTATCACCGACCTGGAATGGTGTCTTTTGAGCCAGAATTGAGGCACAATTGAAGGCGAGTTGTCGAATTGTGAAGCCTTTGTTGAGCCCTTTGATATTGTCGCGGGATAACCTCGGCTAAATTGCATTCCCCCGCATGTTTATTTGGTGCCACCCTGCATTGCGCATTTCATCAGTTGCCTACGGCTTATGGTTTCATCTCAAAATATCCGCCACGTTTGTCGTCCTCCGCAACCCAAGGCAAGACAATGGGACTGCCGATGGATCCGAATCTCTCAGAAATACACGTCCCCAGTGGACCTACGTCGGTTCATCAAGGACAATCGTTCGAGGGTTTAACGCTACAACAGCTCATTCTTCGGAAAGATGACCTCGAAGTCGAATTGAAAGCCTTGGGCGCCGTCCTGGACAGCCATGGGGTCACTATGCAGACGAGCCTTACAACTTTCGATGGCTTTCCGAGATCAGACATCGACGTGGCACAAGTGCGGGTGACGCGAGCTCGGATCATTTCACTGCGCAATGACTGGAAAGATCTTATGGACAGAATAGAAAAAGGGCTCCATCAGCATCATGCTAAACACCAGGCATCAGACGACTACAAAAACTCCCTACTCCAACCCGAACAACCTCCCTCCACCGCTTCTCAGCCTACACCTTCCGTCCCCGAGACCCCCTTTGCAAAAGTGAACACTGTCGAGCCTGGCAGTCCTGCCAATGAGGCTGGTCTGAAGTCCGGCGATCTAATCAGAAGATTTGGTACTGCAATCTGGTCAAATCATGAGAGACTGAGAAAAGTTGGGGAGGTTGTCAGTCAAAATCTCGGGCGGCCCATACAGGTCAAAGTCTCAAGAGACACAGGGTCAGTTACACAAGAGCTGGATTTGAGGTTGACCCCACGGCAAGACTGGGGAGGAAGAGGTACACTGGGTTGCCATATTGTTCCTGTGTGAGATGGGCGGTGCAGACCACCACATCTGAGGCACCAGAAGTGCCATCCAGACCGAACTGCAATGCCCTTTCGGCTTGGGTCACAGACAGAAGAAGCCAAGGCTGCTGTTCCAGGCGTCATAACAGTGTTCGCACAGGCATTCACACAGAGTCCTGCAGAATGAACGGTTCCTACGAGCCCGGTCTTGAGGAGCAAGGACAGAAGGCCGTTTCAGGCCAGCCGAGAATAAGTAGCAGCTGATTGAGCGTGCAATGTCAGCAATGCCAGCTTTAGGTCTTGAGTGAGAGACCCTGCCGCAAATTCTGTTGACATAGATGAGCAGATTCGCTGTACCACAGTACACAGTGTGTCAATCTGCCTGTTTATACCGGGTGGCTGTAACAATAGATAGAGGCTGTTGCGATCGAAGATACTAGATTAGAATCCATCACCACGTGACTGCCTAAAGATTGAGGCGGCTGCCGTCACTCGGGCAGCAATCTTTGCAATCAACCGTCGGAGAGCAGATGAAATGACGGTTCAGGCTTGGCATATGCGATCCCAGTGAAAACAGTCTTTCCGCCTCTTTCAACCTGCGCTGCCCTTTTCGCGAAATACCTTGCAACTCACCACTTTCTGTCTTTTTCATCTCGCTTGCAGAGATATCCTAGTCCTTGAGATCAGTGGCATTGGACCTGATCCCAACAGTCACCTAAATCCCAAACTACCATCCACCCTGCCACCCCCTCAACATACAAAACATTGACAATGGCGGAAGCTCAACAAGGTGTACCAACCTTCAAGCTCGTCTTGGTTGGTGACGGCGGTACTGGAAAGGTATGAACAACCTACAGGCAGTCTTCGGCGCCTTCATCGCATCCTGCCGAGGTCCTGATCAGTCCCGAGACACTTGCTCACAGATCTTGACAGACTACCTTCGTCAAACGCCATCTTACAGGTGAATTCGAAAAGAAGTACATTGCCACTCTCGGTGTCGAAGTCCATCCTCTAGGTTTCTCAACCGTACGTCGCTCTCCAGTGCAAAAAGAGTCGCGATCTAACAATGATTTAGAACTTGGGTCAAATCCAATTCGATGTGTGGGACACCGCAGGTCAAGAGAAGTTCGGCGGTCTGAGAGATGGCTACTACATCAACGGCCAGTGTGGTATCATCATGGTGAGCATTTGGCTGTCCGAAAGAGACTTTTGTGAACTTGTTTCTGACGACTCCTAGTTCGACGTCACCTCAAGAATCACCTACAAGAACGTTCCCAACTGGCATCGTAAGTCGTATATGTTACATGGGTTGCAGATTGAGTAACTAACGGAATCGCACAGGTGACCTTGTCCGTGTCTGCGAAAACATCCCGATCGTCCTCACCGGCAACAAAGTCGATGTCAAGGAGCGAAAAGTCAAGGCTAAGACCATCACCTTTCACCGCAAGAAGAATTTGCAATACTACGATATCTCAGCCAAATCCAACTACAACTTCGAGAAGCCCTTCCTCTGGCTGGCTCGGAAGTTGGTCGGCAACCCTCAACTCGAATTTGTCGCTGCTCCCGCTCTTGCCCCTCCTGAGGTCCAGGTCAACCAAGAACTCCTTGATCAATACCAGAAGGAAATGACCGAAGCTGCAGCCATGCCTCTGCCTGATGAGGAAGACCCTGACTTGTGAGCGCACACACTTCCGACTGCGGTCGCAGTCATATCTCTCTTGGTCAACGAGATCGGTGTGAAGGCTGGATACGGGCTAGCGAGACGACAAATAGAAGGTCGTACTGATTTCCCATCGGATGGAGCACATGGGACGGGGTGGTGTTGAAAGAGCCCAGGAATTCCTTTTGCGCACCATCCGAACAGCAAAGAGGATCGTCAACCCTGGATGACGAAGTGAACGAACGACGATGAGCTTGCTGAACTCCGAATATCACAAAAGCAAACTGCATGATACAGAAAGTTTCTCTTGCTCATTCTGCGATAGCTCTAGACTACAATATGATAGCATAGCGAGAATGAATTCTATTGAATAAATCATCCTGATCAGTTTTTCGAGCCACGGCCGTTTCTTCTGTTTGCAACGGATCAATCTTCTCAAGCTATGCCTCACGCTTTATGGCTTCATGTGAGAGAGGTTACTTTTTGCTCATTACAAGAATCCTCCCTCCGGTTTCTCGATACACTCACAAAGATATCCGACTGCCATGACCGCCAATTCGGGATTCCTCGATGCGCATTCAATATCTGCCGGGCGAGCTTGCCCGTCCTCATGAGCGACATGGTCCTACCGATCAATGCGCGGGAGCTTTGGTGCAATTCTACCTTCGAGAGTACCTAAGGTCAAACCAGTACGGAGTCCCGACGAATCAAATTAAACGTCTACGCCACACACCCGTAGTATAGTTTTGGATTTTATTTTTTTGAAAGAAAAAAAAACCGGTAACTTATGTTTCTTGATCCTCACAGATGCAGAACATTCAACGCATGCAAAAGTCTCTCCTCAACTCAAGTACATCCTTCATCGACTGATGCAAAAAACGAGGCCACTCGTCAAGAGGTCGTGCCCGGGTTCGAACCGGGGTTGCCGGAATATTTGTTTCAAAATCCGGAGTGATCACCACTACACTACACAACCGTGAGACACTGAAGAGCTGTACCGAAAGCTCGAGGCCAATTCAGGTCAAGATTTCAAGGGGTTGAGAAATTATAGGGTAAAATTTTTGGGTCGTCATGGGCGCCAAGAGCGCCCATTGAAGTTGAGTTCTAGGGACCACACGGCCCATAAGGTGGAGCGGCGCCGACCACTTCCCAGAACCTGATGGGGTGCCTGATATATTTGGGAAGAGGTGACCTCGCAGTGGACTTAGCATTTAGTTAATAAATCTTGGCACGTGAATGACAAGTTTATGACGAAAGGGTGTCAGCGTTTTAGCAACGCGGTTGCATGTGTGAGGTACGGTACCTCCTTGAAGAGTCTTCCATTGTACAATCGCGCTATGCTTGAGTACATCAGGTACTTCAGGTAGGTATGTCTATCCACGTGGGGTGATCAAATGCTCTAACGCTCACGAAGCCCGCCTTGGCTGGCGAGGCTGGGATGCCTTTCCTGACACCATCGGCCCGGTGCGCCCAAACCCGCTATGCTCAATCTAACCGACATAAGATGATATGCGAAAGCCCGCATTGCGCTGAATCACTGCTCAATCATGCTAATCATGAGATGCCCTGGTCTTCCCGATTGCGCCGCTGCACCGTGGTCTTCATGTTCACCATGATACATTTCGGAGCCGGAGACGAGTCGTCTCGCTGCAGGTGATTGCTCGAATCCACCATCTCCCCCCAACTCAGATACTCTGTCCAAAGTTGTACGCCCAACGCGCCTGTCGCTAATCATGCTGAAGTGAAACAGGGACGAACCTCTTCTCCACACACCGGTCCGTCAAGATAGTGTCGATTTCAGCCTCGCTATCCTCACCGGTACGATAGGCTTCAATCTCCAGTCCCACGCCTCTCATCGCAGCCAAGACCGCTCGAACGTTCAGGTTGATAGTCTCCACTGGCTCTTGCGCCTTCATCAGATACCGCGTTAGGTTGGGGAAGAGGACGCCAAAGTCAGACTGCGAAAGATGGGCACTTTCTGGGATGAGGAAAAGCTTTGGCGCCATCCTGTCTGCTGCCTCGGATGATGGCGCAAAAGAGGTCATCGATGTGGAGGCACTGTGGTCCGAAGTTCCGCTAGGACTAGGCGAGGAAGCTCGGCTCAGTGCAGGAGATTGTGATGCTGATGACAAAGGCGTGAGCTTGTCGATGTCTGATGTTCCATCACTGCTACCCTCTGCATCTTGGTTCAACGTTGCTTCTGTGTCCAGCTCCGGTTCGAATGCGGCTTTGTTCGGAGGCGTGGCAAGAGTCGCATTGTTGAACGTAGGATTGGGCCTCGGTCTTTCTCGGTCAAAAGCCTCCATCGCCTCAGCGGGTTTAGCTGAAAGTGCTGCCTTCATTCGGTTGAGCAAATCCGTGTATTTGTGAAACTCTGCCGTCACGATTGCAACGACGTTGGTGGTGGTATTGTCACCCTTTTCAGATGGTTTGCGTTCATAGCAGGGCAATGGTCGTTCCCAGAGCCATTGCGTCTGCTCGCCACGGAGAGGCATCGTCCACAGATCTAGCAGGCCAACTGGTGACTCCGGGGTGATCTGTCGGACTAGATCACTGTTCGAGGCCGGCTTGTACAGAGGTCGCCAGTCGAGGTCATTCTCATACGGGGTGCCCTTCAACGAGGGTAGGGATTCGTGGTAGTAGACTGATTTTATGAATTGGACCATGGTCGCGGCGCCGAAGGAGTGACCCACCCACGAAACGCGCCCTGGTTGGAGATCAAGTGTGTCCTCGAGAGCAGGTTGTTCGCTTGCTTTGCCCTTCTCTGGGCTGGCGTAGTTGGTGAAGCTCTTTCCTGCATTCAAGCAAGTTATTGCAGTGTAGATTTGGTCAAGCTCCCATAGCCGGATGCGGAGCTGGGCATTGCGGGAGTTCAGGACTTCAGCCGTCGGGGAATGGGCGTGCTTCTGATATGGGATTGAGGTGGCCGACCCATCCTCCGAGCGTATAAGAGAGACGGGAGCGCTTCCATCTCGATGCTCTGGTGCAATACACACGATGCCGAAGCTTGCCAGAGAGGTACATACTGAACTGTAGGTGTTGAAGTTGCCACCAAGTCCATGGGAGAAGATCGTTAAAGGGTACTTTGTAGACTTGTCTCTCGGCAATAAAGGCGCCTCTGCCACCACGGGAAGATTGGTGTAATGGATAGTGAAGGGTAGGTATGAGATGAAGGATGAGAGACGAGGCTTAGCTCCTAGAAAGCTAGCATATGCTTGCTGCCATGTTCGTTGTGGATGTGGTAGCCAAGGTACAGAGACCTTGGAGGAAGCTGATTGCGTGGTGGGATAGAAAATCCGGAATTTGATGGTCGAGATTCTTGAGTCTGGTGTAGGCGAGGAGGAAGGGATCTCAGATACTGGGATCTCCCATTCTACCGTACCGACTTTGTGCGGTCCCAGTGGTTTGGGTAAAGATGGAATAGGGTTGAGGTAGGATGAGATCATCCTGCCTACCTAGGTAGGGTTGGCCTCCAACTTCAGTAGGCGGAAATTGGTCTCGTGATTGGGTTCAAAAGTATCTTGACGAGAACAAAACAATTAATTAAAGAGCGGATGAGGAGCCTAGTAATACCACGGACAGACTTGCAGTGACGACTACAAAGGGAACATGATGGAATATGTACCATCTGCGAGAGTGAAACTCAATCAGTTAAAAAGAGAACTCGCGTGCCCACCTACCAAGTTCTGCGATGATTTTCCAGGCACCCAGGCACCGCCACGCAGGCAGATCAAACGAAACCAGGCCCAGGTCGTTGATGTCATTCATTATTGAAAGCTTGAAGCGGTCGTTCCGACAAGCCGACCGCTGCACGTGAAAAAAATCGTGATAGCGGATGTCACTCTCTTCCACTACCCGACGAATGGCATTAAGCGCAGGCTGGCGGGCCTTGCCACCAACAAGAGCCGAGGCTCAAGTTCATTATTTCACGTGACCCTGGTTGGCCGGCTCGCCTTGCAAATTTGCTCGCTCGGCCTGTTTTCTCGCGGCGTGTTTTCCCAAGAACTGAGGTACACTTCTGTGCCACGTCCACTTCTCTTTGCCGGCTACCACATCCAACAGCATTACCAATGGCAGCACTCATCTTCTCGATCCTTGACGGCGACTTGTCCCCTCCTCACGTGTCTCTATACTCCTCAAAGGCTGCTTGTACTAGTACCGCCGTACACTGGGCCTTCTCGCGGTTTGCTCTCCAGTCCACCTCGCGCCGGCGCGGTCCGCCAATTGCCATCCATTAAAGATCGAGCTTGATGTGCTATACCCATAGGATCAGTGATGTCAACAGTTGATCATGGGAACCTTTACCATGGCGATTTTGATGAAGCCTATCCGGCGCCTCCACCTTCAAGGAATGGTGCATAGTAGGTTGTATGTATTCCAAGACCTCGCGTCAGAGGTATCGCGCTTCTCCTTGGGGGTTCAACAAACTCGGAGTTTGTCGCGTATCATCCACGTTATTCCTTAGCATCATGCACAAACATGCATCATATGCACTTGGAGCTCCCAGCCGTCACACTAAACACCTTTGCCTGCCTATAACCACGTTTATTATGCTTTTCGCGCATTCACGACCGCGCAATACTCGCGATACAGCCACTGGAAAACATATGCAAAATGTCAATCCCCCTCAATTTTCACCGGTTTCATGGTCTGCGCAAGAATGGCTCCCTATATTCTCCCATCTTCATCTGGAAGAGGCCCCCCAATTCCCTCCCACCTTCTCTGCCTGATCTCCTGCCCACCCTACTCATCAAGAGAGCACGAAGCTGCCATTGTTGCGTCCCTCAGCATTCTACCAGCAAGGACCTTTTGTGCATGACGAGATAGTTGTATTCTTTGCTCTTTGTTTCCTTCTTGAACAATCTCCACTCTACTCGATATTGTTTGCTATCTGGTTCCCACTTACAAGGAGATTTGTCATTGTGTACCAACCAACATCTCTGTTACAGCAGCCATTTGTATACAACGCAAGCTATGCGCCTCGTCAGAAATGACTGTACCGGCCCTTGCCAGATTCTGGCAAACAGACCTTACTCGCGAATGCTTCCTGTCCTTCCTCCCCAAAGCTGATCTTCGGTCTCTACGGCTGGTATGCAGGGAATATTCCAGGGATATCGCTCCTGTACTGTTCACAAGCCTCGATATTCATTTTACCACGAATGTTTTCACGCGCAGGGCGCGAATGTCGGCATTGGAGAGGATTGGCCACCATGTCCGAAAGCTGTCTTTCATCATGCCCCATCAATCCGAGACTTTTCTCCCACCACTCCTGGTTCCAGGCACTTCGGACGAAGTCACCTTTACCTATGAGCCTCGCTTGAGTATGTCAAGACCACCATCTTCCAGCAGCTCTTCGACTTCGAGCTCGACATCCAAGTATGGGTCCTGGGAAGTGAACGACTTACTGGTAAAACAATATCCTCCCTTGTTTCACGCCGCAACGAGTGTTGATTCATTCTTCCGAGCAGTCGTTGCTCTCCCGGACTTGAGGCATCTGGAGATCTCATGCCCAGGCCAACCAACATCACAAAGATATCGCAAGGATATTGTCGACTACGCCCTCATTTCTCTGCGTTTAGCAGTCGAGAGTGCCAATCCTGTCCAGCTTGAAACATTGACACTTGCGCCTATACACCCGGGAGCCATACTTTACCTCCGACCTCACTTGACCTTTGGCTCTTCACCAGCTGCCTCGCGTGTCTGGAGACGCATCAAGAAACTCGACATCGAGATGGACAGCTTCGAGTATGGCCGCGATCATCCGTCAGATCAACTCAAGATCATCCACAGCTACTTGCAGGCTTTGCCGTCTCTAGAGCATTTCAAATTCACCTGGACGGGCAACAAAGGACCTTGTCCACTCGCACTCCATGTCGAGCCTTGCACTTCCCGGCCTACGTCGCTTCATTGTTCGAACGCCTGCCCAGATTCGAGTACAAAATCTTCTTGCCGACCTTTGAAATTCCGGCACCTGAA